GCCAATGTTAAACCACTATCACTTCAATATATACCCTCACTCCAATGATTTTGGATGTAAACATCATCAGAAGTTACACAACAACAGTAATTAAGTTTTAGTTTATAAGATTATAATTTTTAACTTTTAACTTTACACCTGAAGATGGTTCAATGTAACCGAAACATGTAGTAAAAAGATGTACCAAATATGTAAATGATATTTTAATATCTTATGTATAATTTTATTTATATACAATTGTGATTAGACGGAAAAAAAACACGAATAATTAAATATGTGATATACTTAAACAGATGTATATTTAAACTTTTTGTTCTCTTTTTATGTTAAAATGTTGTTACCAAACGTGGTTGGTACTCGTGCTTCGTGTTCGAGAGGTCAAGGGTTTGAATATTGTCTTGGCGATCCTGTCACGACTGTGTTAAATGTTCTTCCTACTATGTCGTGAAGTTCTAAACCACGAGGACGACGAATAAGAAGTATAAAGGTAGTATATTTGCGTCATATTGTGAATTAGGTTAATATTTTAATATTTTCCGTCAAATCACAATTTTAATAAGATAATGAAATATATAAAATATTTAAAATATTATTTCACGTTCCGCATCGAATGATCGATTTACATATAATAATAATATATAAGAGTAATCTGATAAGAACATTTTGAACAAACTGCATAACATTGTAAATGATTGTAATTCGAGTTTTAAATTTTACCAATCTAATTTATACCTGAGGACGGTTAAATATAACCGAAACATGTCGTAAGAGACGTTCCAATTTGTAAATCGATCATTCGATGCGGAACGTGAAATGATATTTTAAATATTTTATATTTTATTATCTTATTAAAAATTGTGATTTGACGGAAAATATTAAAATAAGAAGGAGAAACTAAATACGTATTTCATCGTGTAATTGTTCGTCAACATCTTCATTCAACGTTTTGATCAAGGCAAATAGTAGTAGACTATTCGCCGTGTTGATGCGGCAACTTCTCCGGCAGCGTTGCGTGACGGGTCATCTATGCCCGATGTTGCAGGCGATCAAGATATGTGTTTGGGAAGTTGAACCCAAAAGTAATGTTTCTATTAATCTAGCAGAGAGTCTTTGGACTTGTGACTTGTTACATTATTTTCAAAATATCAGGACGAGGAACGAACGTTTTGGTAGCCATCAGAATAGAAGTTGTCTTTATTTAAGTAAAGTTTATTTCCAGACACACCCGGTTTAAGAATGAGGATAATCCTTTACGCTCCTGTGATGCCACGTAGAATTATCTATTTTATGATTTTTTTTCTTAAATTTTGGTTAGTATGTGGCCTGCCATATTACATAGACATATTTTTTATAATTTTAAAGAAAAATATTGAATGCTTTTGTTATATGTACTACTTTAAAGCAAGTGTGTTTGAATACTTAATATTTATTTAATGTAGTTTAAACTTAATTTGTGGGGGGGGGGCTGAAACTATTGAGGTTAGTGGAGGATGAAATTCGCAGCGAAAGCGTTTGGGTTCGATTCGAGTCTCGAGTAGGTCTTGTGCTATATGTGGCATTCGATTTTTGTTGTCGAGATATTGAATCGATTGTAGTTTTATACGTTTGAACTTTGCGTTCTTACTTACAGTCCCGCGCTTAGCATTTGTACAGGGCGTGGTTTGACGCAACGAATGGCTTTTGTGATTGAATCACAGATGTGCGAGAGTCGTGGAGGGAGTTTTCTGTATCAAGATCGTACAGGAAATTAGGAAACTGCTCCTGACGTACTCCTCAGTCTCTGAATCTAGGATACATCTCGTTCTTCCTGGCGAATGTAACATGTACAAAAGCTGATTGTGATTTTACATACGTCACTGGCCTTGATGTTTCTTAATTACGGATGAAGGTGTCTTGTAATGACAGTAGAGATACTGCACTACGTACAGTAGCAGTGAGCACTCCCTCTTTCGTGGGCCTGGGAGGATCACACTAGCTGTTTATATTACAGGCTTTATTCCCATCCAACTCACTGCGACACTGAAGATGTAGGCAGCATGTTTCTCTGAATCGTCGGTTGTACAGCCCGCTTCAACACGTAGAGGTACTCCAGAGAGAGACGCATGAATTTGTCTTTTGCCTTTTTAATATTATCATAATTCAGACAGTAGAGCCTAATGTTATGTGCACTTTATACTGTGTCGCCATTTTTTTGCTTTATGAACCATTTTTAATAATTAAGTAAATCGGATATTCAGCAAACAAATTTAATGTTCTGTGGGATATATTTGCTTAATTGTAGTCCTGTGCTTTTGTTTATTTCGTCCATTATTCAGGCAAATTGTAATGGCGTACATTTAGTTAGACGCGTGACACGGGACATGTTTTTTCGCCTGATGATGACGCTTTGGCGTCGAAACGTGCAGCCAAGTAACATTAGCCTATATTCGCGTATGAGAAGCTAATAAAATTATGTTGACAAGTGTTTAATTTACTTTATGTAACGTAGGCAAGATAGATGTCCCAATACAGATTATTTCGTGGTAAATTTAATATATTTTATGTGATTTGAGGTTCTCACGGCGGCATGTATGTAGATGGCTGTATTCTGGGATGTTGCACTTTGTAGTCTGGTACCCCTGATGATGGAGGCAGCAGGGACCTCTGAAACGTCGATAAACTTCTGCCAGATTACACGGCGCAACAACCCAGAAAACAGACATATTTATTCTTTGAGGTAATTTTTTTATCATTAAACGTAGATGTTTATTGTTTACATGTTTACAAAGTTTAAATAAAATAATATTTTAAATTTAGTATAATAATTTTTTTTATTAAAATTAAGGTGATAACACAAATTCGCCATGGATAGTATTAAATTGATAAAATAGAATAGAATATCTTAAGCATTGTCCACATTTTTCTCGATTTAACCTTAGAGTTCGATCACTTCACAAACGAGGCTGCAGAGCCCGAATCATGGTGGTTTAACCCTTATATATGTAGTAAAGTCTTGTTATTTCCTGATCCAAGACACCCCTGATGCATTGGTATAACCATTGTATCTGGTGTGAAGGGAAAGCCAGTATATAATTCAATAAACCCGTGTCATGATATTCAGAGTGCACTTGTAGCGACTTTTAAACTCATTAAGCAAACAAATGAGTTTCATGTCAGCTTGGAGCATCTAATTTAATTATATGCTCCATAATGTGCCAATAATTGCTATTGGGATCTAATTATACTCTACAGTTGTATGCTCCTAATGAGCTGTACATGTTGGTTCTCTTTGTCTTTAGACAGACATGCAGCTACGGTTAGAAAGACAGAGGAGGGTTCCTTCGGGGCTCAAAACATCGAGAAATATTAAGTCAAGGAACAGCACAGTGCCAGTAAACGTTAACGTAACCCACACTTACGTTCTCAAATCAGTACCTGTAACGTGAACTCAAAATACTTTTGTTTCATTCTATCGGTTGTTGCGCTGTGTAGTCTGGTTGATGTTAACCAACGTTTCAGAGGTCATACTGCCTCCGTCATCAGGGCGATGAATAAGCTCCTATAAACCTAGCCCCACACACCCTATTGGCATACTCATCGCCCTGATGATGGAGGCAGTATGACCTCTGAAACGTTGGTTAACATCGACCAGACTACACAGCGGAACAACCCAGAAGACAGAAATCTTCATACTCACCGCTGTGTAAACCTCAAATCTTACATATCTCTCCTTTCCAGCTTCCAAGCTGAAATTTTTTTAAACCAGCATTGTGAAAGAAAACATAAAAACAAAAATTACTTTTAAGAGTAAATATACTTTTTTAGAGCCACGTTCAGAACCTCTGAGGCAATGTTTAAGCACTCATCATGTTCACCCTGAGCCCAGTGAAGAAAAATAAATAATCGTATGTCTACATTGCACAGTTATTTATTTTAACAGCGTAACATAACAATTGAGCAAATACTTTCACATATATTTTCTGTGTTATGAGTAATTACTTGTTCCACAAATAAAGGCTAATATGTTTGTTCCTTTCTTTTATGTCAGTTTATACTAAATGTAAGCACATTTAAACTCTGTTATAACATGAACAGCAACACGTACATGATGGAAGCCTCACAACGCATGAGGAATGTACTACATTTTATGGCTTCATTGTACCGAATGCATAAAAGTAACATACGATGGCAATCACATGTGTTCCATCCTTGTGGTTCGTCTCTGAAAATACATAAGGGATTAAATATTGTATCGATTGTGTTTTTTTGTTTATGACTGTCAGAGGCTGAGACAGTGTAGCATCAAATGGTAATTAATGATCGGTGAATTTGAAAAGATATGAAATGAATCAGTTATGGCATTATTTAAGGTAATGTCACAGTATTTGCCTGGGACTGAGGAAAACCATGAAATCCACATTTGTGGTAGCAGGCCAGTTGATCGGTACAGCCAATGACTGTAGCTGCCGACTCGAGTCTCCCGTAATATTTTATCCCATTTCATTTACTTATCTCTCATGTTATGACGCAAAAACATTCGAGCACTTTCAAAGGATTGAAATATTTAATAATTCTTCAAATGAAAATGATGATTGATACCAGTTAATTGGCATTTTTATTCACTGCAAAAAAAATCAGGCACGACACATGTTTTATGGGTTTATTTATTTCTTTATTTATATATTTGAGCACAGAATACGCTGGTAAAATTTTAGTCTTCATCACCAAAATTTAATTTAATGTCTTAATTGCTGTGTTTGTTTAATGAACTTACTTGTTTTAATTTCTGGAAGATAAACATTTTATATTGGATGCCATAACATCATGTTTGGCACAATATTATCTCAGATACCATCCATTTGTAACTGAAAATTCTAAGCAATTATACTCCTCACCACCATTTATTGCCAAGTTTAAGGATGGGTGGAAACTGTACCTCATCTCGCCTCATGCCCCTTCACCGTGTACTTAGGACAGCTTTACTTTAATGAATGCAAAGTGCACTTTTCTTATCTTTACAGGTTTAAGAAAAGTGTATCCTTATTACTTCACCTTCACTACCTTCACAAAGGGTCGTTGGGTTGGAGAGAAGATTCTAGATGTGTTTGCAAGAGAGTTTCGAGCGCATCCTGCCGAAGAATATGTAAGTACGCAGTATCTCGTTAATAGTATATTCAGTTTCGTGTCGTGTCCTTTCAAGCACGCTTAGCTGATGCAAAATAATTATAATTGGTTCCCTTTCTGTAATTAGAAAATGAGTAAAGTTTTCACACATTTTTGAATTTTAATTATACTCTCATTCTGTATGACGGTTTCCAAACCGGCATTCAGCACAAAATGGTAGAATGTTGGTCTTACAGCGCCATGCGTCAACTTGAGATGGTGGTGGTAAATGAAGTAGTATCAAATTCAAGAAACTCGTAATCATTTGCGTGCCAGTACACACTGAATGTCACAGTCAATTGGATAATACTCCTTTACATCTGCAAGATCCTGTGTTTTATTCTCAGCAGAGAGATTAACAATCCTGGGTTTTTTTCCATGGTTTTCTTCTGATAGTCCACACAAATGTCAAGACTCTTAAATCATGTTAAGCTATGTCCATTTCCTTCTGTATTTGTAACAAATGATTGTTCATTAATCATTTATTCATTGCTGTAGTCTGAGCTATAACAGTGTCATTATATAAACAAGTTAATACATCGTAGTCAGCACATAAAAAATCAAACTATTTATTTGAATGGCATTCCATGTTTCTCTTCAGGAGAGATGCATTCGTGCAGGAACGCTGACTGTGAATTATGAGAAGGTGGACACTGACTACCGCCTCAAACACAATGACTTACTGGCCAACATCGTTCACAGGTAACATTAAAAACTTACTCAGAAATAACATACACGTCAAAGTATTCCTGTTGTAGTAATTGCCATCCAAAAATGGTAACTGTAAAATGAATTCTTACCACTGACCTCTGGTAACCAACATTTCCAATTTCTGGACATGTTGTTGCATGTTGCCATAAAGTACGTTTCAAAAATATGTTTTAACTTAGTGTGAGTTCATTTCAGAAACACTGTGTAATTGTATACAAATCTGATGATGTTATGTGTTCTTCACACTGTAATGTGAGCACACATCTTATGTGTCCATCTATGTCCGTCGGTCCGTCATGTTTTTCAAATCTGTGGGACCGAAGGTCCCATTGCTGAAACCCATTTCTACAGCAATGAGTTCCAAGGGTTCCCATTGGACTAACGATGGGACCTCAGATCATATTATTGCAAGAACAACCTGAGATCATTGTTGGAAGGCATAGTTTCGCAACAGTGGCCTGGGATCACGTAAATGCATAGACCACCAAAGAAATGATGACCTACGTCTTGTGGCATGAAGAATATCTTTGGAATGTAAGTGTGTTCCAAAGAGTAGATCTTTCCGATCTTGTTCGTATTTGACGATAAATTAAAATATGTGAAATTAAGATGCCATCCCTTGTTCAGAAGGGTGTGTGCGTGAAACCATACCCATTTATCATTATCCATCAGATATAACTGATAATAAAAGTGTATTTTAAAGTTTTTCTTTGGTCACTTGAAATTTAATTATCAGGTTTTCTTGTACCGAAGGTCACATGAGAGGTCATACATTATTTTGACACATTTACATCACATCTCTTTAATATTTGCTCAGGTGCTTTATGCTTACACTGTAGTTTTGACCGCATCATAACTTAACGAAAGGAAGGAAAGAGAGTGTATAAAATTTCATCAAACTGTTCGTTTCCTTTTAGTTGTGTTACCATATTTATATGGAGAACTTTTTTATAATTTATTATTTAATTTTTATTTCTGTCTTGCGTGACGAAAAGTGGACATTTTGCATTATGTATAACTGAAATGGATTTTCAGTATTTGAATTTTCATATATATCTGTGTATGTTTAAAAATTAAATTTAAGAACATGGTGTTTGTGGTCTGATGGAAATAGAGGCAGAAATGCCCATCATACCATCGGACTACATGAGTTTAAGTCATTCTCAGGTTCATGAGAAGTTGTTTCATTTACTTTCTGGGGCATATTAAGAAATAAAATTTATATCTTTATTGATATTTTCTAAGATGATTTAGTACAGTATTTATTAATGGTTTTATTTACCTCATATCACTGTTCTCTGTTGTTCCACTTTGTATTGCATGTTTTTTGGAGTATCTGCACTTATTAATTCTGACACCAAATAATGCATGCTTGCTTGCATACACACAAAAAACAAAACAAATATAAGGTGCACTATGCATTCCAAAAATAAGTTTTATTTGACCTCTATCGTGTAGGAATCGGGCATTTATACGCCCATCTGTTTTACTGGAGGCTGAGTGGACTTCAACCGTGGGTTTTAACTATTTAGCCGTGTGCTACTGCGATGTACAGCCAGTAAAGCTTAACTGTGAAACATATATTACTGAAAACAGAGGTCAAAAATTTTGTTCACCTATTAACCCATTTCTCTCTTTCTTCGTGTACATATTCATGACAGTGTGACCAACATTGGCAACATTCTGTAAACTCTCTTTAGTGCTGTGTTTGATCCACCGATAAATTTCTATTCCCAATACAATTCTAAACTGCTTGATGCTGGGTTCCCCGAAGTGAATCTTTTATGCCTGCGACAGCTCAGGACAAGACAGAGCCAAGTCAGGTGAGTAAGAAGGGTACAGAAGCATCCCAACTCTTTGTTACTAAGATAGAGAATTAAAAAGAAAATGGCAGTCTAAAATGCAGTCACTTCACCTGACTTTCACATCGCAACTCACGGGGAATGTCAGTTGAGGCCGAGGACTTTGAAACATAAACAAAGAGAAAATTTGTCACCCTCTGGTAGGAATGTTCTTTTGTGGCAGCAGGTGAATGGAGCATACCATTGGATTGCATTTTGTACAGAGACACACGTGCACAATACACACATTCTCAGACACTCTTACGCATGTCTTTTATTACAAAATGAGTGTTTTATGCAAAAGAATTCATTGCTGTCATTTATGTCTGTTACTTGTTTCTTCTCCAGTCGTATTTTATTAATTATTTTATTTCTTTCTGATTATTTTTGGTACCAGTTCACAAAACTGCTACTAGTTAGGTAATTCTGTATAATGGTTCCACGCACAGCACGACAGATTCAAGGTACCGGGTTGTTGCGGTGTCTGAAATTTTCGTTGTGAATGTACCTAGTATATTTTTCAAGCATTTTCATGAAGCTTTCTGTATTTCTGCTCATTAACAGAATATTATGGAACAGTTTACAACTTTGACTTTCAGGGTTTAGTCACATCATGTGTTGAAGGTGTTTAAATATTTTGGCAAAGTTGAAGCTGCCATCTTCAGGAGGTGTCGTGTGAAAGGGAAAGGGAGCTATTATGAGCTCAAAAGTCATGGGTTATAAATTAGATAATTAGTGAAACTTCATGGCGGTCTATTAAAAATGCTACAAACTTGTAATTGTAAGTAGGTTCACATATTACTCAGTACTTTTCTTTAACAGCAGTTCATAATTCATGAAGTATTTGACACAGCTTTTATTTCAGCCATTTAATTAATACTTTAAAACACAGTTGCAACTGTGTGTTCCACCAGCTTTGACATTAAATAATTTTCTGTTCTCCCCACAGAATTTATTTATGGGTTTCATATGATTTTCTGAATAAACAGGGATTATTTCCTTAAACAGCATTCACCAGTTGATCTTTGTAATGGTGAAGAGTTGTGTTTTCTTTGAGGTACGGACTGAATTCTTAAATATTATTTAAATGATCTTTGTGCTTCAGGGACGTAAGGTTATGAATGTGTACAGAGCTATAAAGAAAAGTACTGGTTCTCTATTTGACACAGTCATTGTTCAATTTACATAAAAGACCACCATCTTAGCTGCCTCTTGACTGGCAATTTTGGATTCTTTTTATAGTAAATGCATTTGTTTTCATGTTTCATGATAGAAATGCCAATATAATATACCATTGCCTTCTGCTAGGACCAAACCCTTGTCCACGATTATGTCCAAAGTTATTAAAATTCAAAACTGCACAGAGGCATTATGAAGACCCAGTATTATGTGGTGGCGTCATATGTGTGTGTTTCCAATTCCCATGCACATTTGCATGAATTATGATTTATTATAACAAATTACATACCTATTATTTTGTTGTGCACACTGAATTTTGGCTGCACTGGAAACTTATTCAAGTTTGCTCTGACAGACTTCCCTTTTAGGTGATGTATGTCCCAGTTTGCTGATAGTTACCTACAAGATACATTGTGCATGGAGAGTTTAGTGTGGTGATCCTACAGCACATAAAAACATTAGTTAAACAATTGCTGCCTGTATTCTGTACTGTGTGTACTGATAAATAAAATGTTTGTCTACTGAACGAGATAGATAGTCGGTGTTGGTCTTGTGGGCTGTAACACCGCAGGGACTTATGTGTAGATATCAACATCTAAAAGCAACATACTGTAGACCAACATCAGCATCTTCACTGTCATGAGAACTTTGAATCTCACAAGAGATAGTGGTCACTCATAAGTTTAATGATTCAGCAGTAAATCTCCAGCGTGCTAACGCATCAGAAAATCTCGTGGACATTAACAGTTAATAACTTGCAACAAATGAGCCATGTTTGGCTCCTCTCCAGCCTCTTCAGCTCATTGGATTTGGCAGCTCAGTCATAAATTGTTAGTCACTGTACCCCGGTTGTCTGTCCGTCCTCTATCATTTAGATATCCGCGCACATCTGGGTGCATTGAAACACAGTAATGGATCAGAGATGGAGAATTTTGGCCGGCAGCCAGGCCATTGGTTCGCAGATCTGTGGCTACCCAGTCACTAACTCTCTTTACACTGTTGATATCTCAGCTCGCTGTGTAGCTTTCCTTCAGTACTCTTTTATCTTCGCTAAGTCAATGTGCTGGCCACCACAGAGTAATGATACCGTAGCAGTGCAATGGTGGTATTGTGATCTTGAAACACGACTTGCAAACAAGTATAATCTTTTTTTTTACTTTATTTGTCATGTAAGTGTTATTAAAAACATTTTGGAAATTGCTTCTACTTCTGTCTTCAGGAGAAAGGAAGACAAAATCCTGATCTGTTAGGCCCCCTGGTGACCAGAAGTGTGTTTTTAATAACGTCTTGTTGATGGATAAAGTCCAAAAAAACAGTTTAACACAGTTGTTTTTCACAATTATCAGAACCTTTAAACTTTGGAGTATAAGTTTTGTTCCTCTACCTCCCCCCTATAGTGTGTGATTGTGACAAGACTGCATTATTGGTTTGTTTCAGGCATGAAGTCCCCGTTACCTCCGACCCTATCACCATAGTTCACATGGACGAGGACATTGTGGTTGTTAACAAACCTGCCTCCATCCCTGTAAGTGGGCAACAAGACTGCCTGTCTGTCTCTGGTAGCTCATTCTCTTGTTTTATACCATACCATACCATCACGTCTGTCCTTCCTGTCTGTCTCTGGTAGCTCATTCTCTCGTTTTATACCATACCGTACCATCACATCTGTCCTCTTATCTTCATTTGCCAAAACAGTATTTGCATCACCTATCGTTAGATTCCTATAACTGTCGGCAGTTCCATGGATACGGGGAGGTTTAAATTCCCAACTAAATGGCTGCCAGCTGGACTCTAACTACAGGAATATTTTCAAGTTTTAATTGCATGTTTTAATTAATTTTGAGTGATGCTGTGAGTGAGTTGGAGGAAATGAATAACAGCATCAGAGTCTGAGAAATACGTTCCCTGTCATGAAGACCAAAGGAGATTCTACGTACTTATGTATGTTCATTCTTTATGTCCATGTCATGATGGCATTGAGCCCTCTATGTTGATGTATTTTCATTTTTCATTTTCAAAGTTTGAGAAAGAAATTTGCAGGTAATAATTATCTGTTTTAGGTGTTTGCTGTATGTAGATTAGGTTCAATACAAAGTTAAGGGACGTGAGGTGATTAAAATATTTACAGTAATTTTCTTATCATAATTTAGTTACACCAGAAATCAATATATTTATACATTTTATACAATGAATGAGCCTGAATACATTAGATCCACATTCTAACCAATGATTGCATCCAGTACTGTTATTCTGGTTGATAGACCAGTTTTATAAAAACACATTTTAACAAATATGATGGGGGATTACATATCTAGAGTTTAAAATTACTGTACGTAATTTCATTGAAATAAATTTCTTCACATATTGTAAAATTCGTCATGTGAAATGTTATGGTCCTTATTCATTACAGATGAAGGGTAATATTTTTTTGTATATAGAATGGAACTGGGGCACATTTTTCTTTGCATACTTCAGTTTACCCTGCTAATCATAATTTGAATAATGTTCCATCACCTCCACTGAGGTGTGTGGTATGCATGACCTGCGAGCACATTGTCACAACCTCTGTCCTTAGCTGGGACGTCTCTACTGACCTGGCACTTTTCTGCGTGCAGAATAAGGAAATTTACTCAACTGGTAAATACAGAAGTAGGTTATCTGTTTTAATGTGTACCATAGTTAACACTTGTCAGAATTATAAAATGTAGTTTAGTAATTCAAAAATAATAATATATGTTTATTCAGAAGACTTCTTTCAACCGATGTCATATTTAAATGAGCTGGATAGTGTCTTCTGTTCTTTCTCCTCAGCATGCTCTGTAAGTAAGAATTTGTTACGCAACTTACGTGTGATCATTGCAACCAAGAGTGTGAAAGCATGGGTGATGCAAATATCATGCACCCTGTATGCTACGTGGATAGTTCCGTAGTCTAATTTGTTTTGCCTTGTGCATTATACCATTCCTATGAACTACCCCTCATTGCTTCATTTCCCAGGTGCGTACAGAACATCGGCAGCCCAAATAAACTGGGGACTACCTCTATTTGATTTGCACCTGTAATATTTGCAACCCTCAAAACTAACTTCACATACCAAGAGAAAAGTGAGAGCTTATATCAGTGGTTAGAGTGTGATTTTTATGTGCCATATTTAAATTTCTTTCCAGACCATTTATTGATGACGTTTAAAGTCCTCTATTCATTTGAAAGAGTACAAATTGTTTTATGTTACAGTTGTGCATTCCTCAAGTATAGAATTCAGACATTGTAGAATTTGATGCATGAGATTCATTCTGAAAATAAGCATTGATTTACTTCCTGAAAACAGCGCACCAAATCTTGTTCATTTTTCAAGATACATATTTGCCATATTGTGCAGTGTCCATGAAATTTTGATGTTTTAATATGAGAACTATTTTTTATCAGCTATGAACTGTAACTGGCTGTGGTAAAGTATTCAAAATCTGAACCAGTTTGGCTCCAGCCGCATACACTTTATGGTGCTAGTTGGGAATATGTGTGTGAGGTTGGTTTTGAGCGTCATGTGACTGACTCCCTGTTTGACGGGCATGCCGAGCAAAGCTTCCAGTAACATGGCAAGCGGCAGAAAGGGCTCAGCTGAGGCGTAATGTGGTTGTATTGCAGACATGAGACCCCAGTCCTAGCAAAACCCATCAAGCTAATTCATGTAGATGAAGACATTGTGGTGCTGGATAAACCGTGTTCTCTTCCGGTGAGTATGTCAGTGTGATTTAACGTCCCAGGGTATCGCAACATCATACCCCAAGTTCTTTGCATCTGCTCCTTTCCATTTTAAGTGTGTGAGAAATTACACATTTTTTTTAAAAAACAATGCACTCCTGAAGTTCCCTCAGAGTTTTAGGATATTTCAACAGTACTAATTGCACATCTTTGGCTCTCAGCGATAAGCTGCATTGAACGTTGAAAATTATCCATTTTGGCATACATTGCAGTTTCCATCTTCAGGCCGAATCTGTAATGGTTGGGCATTTTTGGAAAGTACATAAGGTAGTCAGTAGTAGAGGAAT